AGAATGATTATGATGGGTCTCCCCGTTGGGGCAGCGGTTGAGCGCTGGGTTGCGAAGCTGCCTGCAGCCTCTACAGCGCCGGTTTGATCCCTGGCCGCTGGGCGAGGGCCCCACATGGCGCACAGACCTCTCCTGCCGCCAGCTGCTCCCCTCAGCAGTGTACTTCGGTCCTTCTGCCTGCTCTGCTCCTCGCTTGCGGCTCTGGTGAATTCTCTCGCCCTCCCGCGCTTCTGACTGTACCCAGTGCTTGTATAATAAATAAATAAATCTTTAAAAAAAAAAAAGATTATGATGCTTACTTTTTAAAAATGTATATCCCCGAAACATACAATAGGTCCAGGTAGAGCCAAAGTATCCACATTTTTAAAAAAGTTACCCAAAGATGCTGATGGCCCTTTTTAGGAAACACTTCCCTAGCCTACATCAACAAAAAGTTAATAGCGTTCAAAAATTAAAATGTTCCTAAACCTTGAGTTCTCAAGACTACATGCCCACAGCAACTAGAGAACAATACTGTAAGGCATTAAAAATAAGCAAAAATCTGACAGGGCATTAGATTTCAGTTCTATCTCAGTGGTTCTCAAGTTGGGGCTGTACTTTAAGGCTCACCCTAAGAGGAATTTACAGATACAGATACAGACTAATTAAATCAGAGTATGAGTGGGGACTGGGGTCAGCCTTCACATTTTAAAAAAGCTTCCTGTAACCAAAGCAACCACTGAGTTACATAAAATATCACTGGAAAAGACACTGATTACTTAGGTAAAGGTTCATCAAAACAATTTTTTATCTGGATCATTATTTGGCTAAAAAATTAATGAAAAAGATAAACAGAAGTGAAAGGAACTGATAAATATATGATGCAGGTAAGGAAGGAAAAAAGACATTGTTGTGATCATAAAATACAGGAATAAAACAAGTAGATATGTGATTTATTTTAGACATTTTGGTTTTGAGACAACATGCAAGATGAGCCTTGAGATATAGCTGCAGACACAAGCTTAAAAATACATTTTGGAAACTTATAGGACCACTTTAAATTATGAAAAATTTGTATACACACACATACAGACACTCACCCATATCCAAATAGTCCATGCTACATGCTATAAATCCCATTACAGAATTAGCTAAAATCATACAAGAACTGGGTAGTAAATGCCAGTTTTTTGAGAAAACATGCTTTTCGGAGTCCCAGATTATGGGGATTACTTTAGATCTGGAAAGTAATAAGACGCTGGGAGTTTTATGGTTTACCAGCAGAGTTAGGTAACTCACTAGGTAGTTCTTACTAAATAATGATGTTCAGTTTTCTACATTCCTGTTTACAGACTGGATACAAACTAGCAGCTCTCTATATTTACTGAAAGACGCCTTCTTTATGATAAAGGCTATTCCTTTCTCATCAGATTTGAAGATCCTTTTTGAGTTGAATGGAACTTTAGCAAAGCTGTCCTCTTACCCCATATTCCTTTCACCTTCATTTAAGAGGTACTCTTAAAGAGCTGAGAAACTTAATTTTAAAAAGAAACTTTGTCTCAAGCATTAATTGTTCTAAAATATTAAACTGTAAAGAATTTTACTCAGAATTCTCAGAAAAGTCTAATCTAATAACTCTTGATATGCTTCTTGTGGCAGATGGGATACTGATAACTTTGTAGAGAAATCCTACACATAGCACAAACAGTATCATGGGTAAATAGAAAAAATTAATTCTATCCTTTCCATGAAAAGGCTTACAATCTATTTAGTGATATGGACTACACATGAACCCCCAAACAATGTACTTGAAAAACATTATAACATTAATCATCATCAAATATATACATACATACATACCATAAAGCATTAAATGCAATTAACAATATAGAAACAACTTTTGGAGGGATGAGGGGGAAAAAAAACAACTTCTATCATGCTTTATAATATATAGGATCTTTAAATTTTGTAATTTATTTTTATTACCTTATACTAAAAGCCGCTTTCCCATGAACAATTTTGGCATAAGTCTTGGTAAAAAATTAAAATAAGTATCTTTTAAAAAACTAAGTTGTGAACTATAACCTAGAGATTAGAGATGATTTTTTTTTAATATACAGATTCTTCCATTCTTCCAAGTCAGACTGCCTGGGTTCAAATCATAGCTCGAACATTAACCTGTGACCTTAAGCAAGTTAGTTAACCTATCTGCTATTCCACCAAAATAGGAATTCTAATAGCACCTCTCATAAAATCATTGTGAGAAGAAATGAAATACATGTAAAACTGAGTGCTGCATATATATAGCACTAGCTATTATTAGTTATTGCTGTGTTTTAGAGTGTGCCATGCACTGAAGACAGAAAAAAAGACATAACCCTGTTATGTATTTTATAATTTAGTGGGGAATTCCACATAAACAATAAATGATATGGTATTATTAAAACATGGTACAGAAGAACAAATAAAAATCTCTAAATTTGAGACTTCTAGACAGACTTTCAGGAAAAATATGGGAATTAAACAGGGAAACAGTAAAATGGAAGGGGTGGAAAGTATGTTCCTGACAAATAATTGTTAGGAGGTAGGTGATCAGTTTATAAAGGTAAGGAAGGAGAACTGTACAACTTGGCAATTCAAAAATGCCTGTTCAAAAAGCCATAACTTTTTCACCAATAACTAATCTGTTAGTATGTCACAGATTTACCAAATCCAATAGTGAAAAGCTGACTAAGAAATAATCACTCAATATGTGGTAATCACTAAAGTAAAAGATAAAATAACCTTTCTCAGTACATTTGCCAGACCAGCTTTTATTATCTTTACTATTCTTTTTATTCTGTCAATTAGCATAGTCTAAATGCTCCCCACTAGATTTCCATAAGCACAAAAACAGACTTTTGCTTCACCCTGCAAATGAAATCTAAAGTACCAATTTTCTGTAAGTGTAGCTATAGAAAACAATTCCTGTTGTTTAGCCAATCTTTCAAAACACAATAAACCAATTTTAGATAAGCAACATCAACTTCGAAGATTTACATTTGCAAAGAAGAATAAACACAGACAAGAGTCTGAGTTGATGAGTTACAGTGAAATTATCTAGAGTAACAAGCAAAGCACACAATGGCTTTGAGAAGACTATGAATTCAGAACTCACTCACATGGAGCCAAATAAAAGTCACTAGTTACAGTTTTCCCACAATCATTCACTGAGCAGAATCGTGGGTTTCAACCAAAACTAAAATTTCAACATAATTGTTTAATACAACAAGATTATAGAAGTGGAATGGCATGGATTATCCTTTCCTGATGGTGAAATACTAGAGGCTAACTACATGTCTATTAATACCAATTTCCATTTGCATATACTTTATGGTTTCTGAAGAGTTCAGAGATAAAGCATTGGAAAATGTTAAGGCAGTTCATGGTCATTACGTAGATGAAAAATCTAAATACAGACTAAATCATCTGCCCAAGATGATAAAATGTATTTTTTAAAATACATTCATCCAACAAGTATCTTGAATGCTTAGACAATATGCTAGGGACTGGTCAATGGCAGAGATAGACAAGGTTCTTGCTTTTCAGTTTACACTCCCATAGGAAAAAAAGACAATAAGCAAATAAACACATAGAATTTTAGATAAATGCTATGAAGAGAACAAGGTAATCACTAAATAGTACTACCCAATATAAGGGTCTATGTCGATTAACTGTACTGATGCTCGAATAATGATACATAACCGTATGAAGGTCTGTTAAGAGCACTCCAGGTAGGGGAAACAGCAAGGATAAAGTCCCACAGGGAGCAAAGATCTTGGACAATTTTAGTGGTCAAATAGCTGAAGTGGAGTGAGGAAAGGGTGTTTATAGACAGTGTTCTGATTATATGGAATCCTTCAGTCACTCCAGGAAATAGGATTTAAAGTGCAATTAGAAAGACGTGAAGAACATCTAATTTGTTGTTTTTTTTTTAATTATCCAAGCTGCTATGTAAAGAAAGAACTGTAATACAAGGTAAAGGTACCCTTGAACTTCAAAAGCGCTGGTCTATTATTCCATGGAGAATATTCCTGGGGAACAAGTGCATGAGTCCTTGTTACTTTTGAAGCCACATACATTTTTAAAACTTAAAATCTCACAATGTACAAAAGCTAATTATAAAGCTGTGAAGGATGCAAGGGGGAAAAAACAACTAGCAGGCCATTGTAGTAATGACTTGGGCACAGTGAGGTGAAAGGAATGGAATTTGGAATAAATGTTGGAAATATAATAGATCTTCCTGACAGAGGGAGGATACAAATCAAAGCTGACCAGTGGTTCTCAATAGGGGATGATTTTGCCTGGCAGGGGATATCTGAAATGTCCGCTGACATTTTTGGTTGTCACAATCGCTGAGGGTATGCTAACTGTCATCTATGGGTAGTGATCAAGGATGCTGCTAAACATCCTACAATGTACTGCAGAACAAAGAATTATCTGGCAAAAGCTGTCAACGGTGCTAAGCTTGAGAAATCCTGATCTAGACAGATTCCAATCAATTTCCATTCTAGAATACTCATATATCCAGGAGAACCTGGAATTAAAAAAAACAAAACACCAACCTAGAAATGGAGGTGATTGCCAATATTTAGACAACAAAGATTGTGGTATACATGAATTAAGTTGTAGGTAAATTATGTTACTCTACGGGTAACATCGTATTGATTGGTAGATAAGTCTAATCAGCAAAATTTAACAGTATCAGTTACTGATACCATTTGTTGGACAGACTTTCTCAAAATACAAATGAAAAATTTCCATTTCATGATACCACCCAACCCTGCTATGCATGCTTTTTTTAATGCTTAAATCTCTAGTCCAATTTATTCTCTTTCCCAAATACAAATTCCCCCCAAATCTAAAGGGGTGGCTATAAATACCAATCAAGATAAAGCTATAAATGGAAAGATAGTAGGAAAAGCTAAGGGGAAATGATGGCCCATTTGTATCTATTGCATACACCTGTTTATCTGACTTACTTGAGTTGGTGGACACATTAATACCCTCTATCAGGAAGTCTGAAGCACACCTCTAAAGGCAACAATGGGAAAAGCACTGTTTTAGTCCTAGTTCACAACACACAATGTCAAAGTTGGAAAAGTTCACTTTAACTCATTTCTTGTTATATAAAAGGTAAGAATTTGGGGAAGGAAAGTCACTATGATGGACTTCTAACTCGTCCTAATGATTCTGGGAACTGCTACAATTAAATTACGTCCCGCAAGCAGCTCAGGGCCTGAAAGGACTTGCTCATTGAAGCAGGCATGACAAAATACAAAATATGATCTACTCCTGGGAGGGTAATTCAGAAAATTACATTTGAATCTCACAAGCTGGGGCTTAAAAAGCCACCAAGTCAAGTTTGACCAAGGAATGGACGCTATTCTTAAGTACAAGGACCTCAACAACTGGCCGTGGACACACACGATACTAGGTTACTAAGTCTAGTTAACACTGAATTTTAGGCACACTCACATTTTTAAACAATTTTCAAAAGGGCGGTCATACTGTTACAGCCTCATCCACATTTACACAGAAACATCGAAATCAATTTGAGAATTAGCTGAGGCCTCCAGCCTGAATTCACCCCCACTTCTGATAAAAGCCCCCAAACCTGACACTGTAAGTGAAATACAGGGACACTTTACTACCCTGAAAATCAAGCCGAGGTGCCCCTAGGCCGGGTGGACGTTTTCGGCAACATCACCGCGCGATGTCTTGGGCGCGCTTCCCCCAGGCGCCCTCGGGTTGCAGCGCTCACGAGAAGCTGTTGCGTCGCCGTTACGCCCGCCGACGTCACACCCTTCCCCAAGAAATACACAGAATAACTCAGTGGAAAATTCATCCACACTACCTCCCTGGGGTGGCGACCGACAAGAAACTACTACTTCTTTACTTCAGGTTTTCAGCTACTCCGAGCCAATATCACCCACCACCATCACCACAGAAGCGCAACCGCACAGACGCAAACCAACAGCGCGCGGAGAGGAGGCACCAAAACAAATCCCATTCTCGCGAAACTTCAAGATGACTCTCGCGACATCTCTGGCTCTCTTTCCACCCCCCGCCCCCGGTCTACCTCCTACACTAGCTCGTTCTTCAAAACATCGCGAGATTTTCTTCTTTCAGTCCCCGCCCCTTTACGGCACGATGGTCGCACAAGAATGTGATACAGCCTCGACGGCCGCCATTTTCTTTCTTTCTTAGCAGTTGGCTGGGAGAAGGTCTCTGCGAAGAAGCGGTAGCGGCCACTGTGCTGTAGATATGGCAGACTATTCAACAGTGCCTCCACCCTCCTCTGGCTCAGCTGGTGGCGGAGGCGGTGGCGGTGGTGGTGGAGGAGTTAATGATGCTTTCAAAGATGCGCTGCAGAGAGCCAGGCAGGTAAGTCTGGACCGCGCGGCGGGATCCCCACCGCTCACGGTAATTGGCCGATGGCTGAGTAGGCCGCTACTCTCGCACATGAGGAAGAGGGAAAAAGTGCCCTTCCGGGCCCAGAAATGTGCGGAGATTCACGGTTCCCCCACGTTGGTAATAGCTAGGACTGGGTTTTGTGTTCCTGGTGTCTAAGGCACTTAGAAACCCAACGCGTGCTACGCAAAAAAAAAAAAAAAAAAAAAAAAAATGGCTTTAGGGCTTTCTGCCGTTTCCGCAGCCCTCGTGTTTCTACAAGGAGTTCATTTCCCACTGCCTTTTCCTGAGAATGAATATCTTCCATGGGATAAAGCGCGCGTAGTAAAACACAATAGTATGGAAGGTTCTGGTAAGGAGTTTGGAGAAGGACTGGGGTCTGCCCACAGAAGCCATAGGGAGGACAGGGTTATGTCTCCGAAGCAGTCTTGACTACTCTTTCGGGGGATCTCTCGCAATTAGTCTTTCGGGACCGTTCACGTTTACACCTACAAGGAAGAGAAGTAAGGGAGAACTGGTATCCCGGGTTGAAATCCTTCCTCGGAGCGGGATTTACGTGTCAGTCTGTTCTACCAGTCCTTCCCCCTTATTTCTCAAAATGGCTTCAGGCCCATTATATCCGAAGTTTCAATTTGAATCTGCCTCTCTATTCAGAGTCGTAAAGTAAGTAGACTTCTTTGTATTACGTAGGTGCGTACAAATGCCCTAAAGGCACTTCTTTCCCAATCTAAAACTTAAAAAAAAAAAAAGGGCTATGTACTTTAGGAAATTTGAAGATTGCTTAGTTGGAACTTTACCTTTATTAGATAATTCTTAATTATGATTTCAAAATGTATGGACTTGTATGTAAGCGAAAGAGTCATTCTTATGACACTGCATATTACGTGCTGGACCTATTCCGCAGTTTTATGCGATAAGTAATTAGACATTCTGGTAACTTTTGATTGCTTTAGTTCACCTCGTTCACTTGTTTCTTTACCCTGCAGTTCCATGAAATGATTATTTGAGTCAAAATTCATCAAATATTTACTGATGTAACAAATCGTTGTTATTTTCATAATGCAACCCCATTATATAAATGTACCGATACCAGTTCATAATTACTAATATTTAGCGGGGTAACAAAAAGTCATTAATGCGAAGTCTTTAGAATCAGTGCTAATTCTGATTTTTCTTTTTTCACTTTTCTGAACTTGTTTAGCGACTGAAACGGTTATATGACAGGAATTCCGTTATCGGGGTTATATTAGATTGGGCTGGAAGACTCACCTGAATTATTTTATTCATTCAACATATTGGAATATTTGTGCCAGACACGCTATTTAGGTACTGCAGACTTTTAATATGTGGATTGGATTCTGCCTTCTAGGAGGAATGATATAGTCAAGGAACCAAATGTAAATGTGTATATATATATATATATATATATATATGTGCTTGATAGTTCAGAAAGGAAAGAATAAAATATGGCCAGTGTTAATTCATGCTCTTGTTCTATAAGCATTTATGGATTTCCTGCTATGAGACTAGATGAGTGCTATGAAGCAGGCACTGTTCACACCACCAGGGAGTGGGGTGCCCAGCTGCTTTAGTAAGGCACTGATAATTAAGGCACTGAAAGATGAGTGAGTTTGACCAGTTGAGCATGTGCATAGGTGAATGGGGCTTGGGAAATAGTAACCCAAGAGTGAAGTCCCTGGAAGATAATATAATGTTAGATGGAGGAGGAAGGGTGGAAAATGAGATGAGAAAGGTTTTTGTGAGTGCAGCTCCTGAAAAAACTTTGCGTTGCCGTGCTTGAATTACAAATTGAACGATAATTTCCTAGTTTAAGCTGGGTTTTTTTAATACAGAAATTGTCTAGGGTAATATAATCTGCCCTGATCACTCTGCTATGATGTGATTCTTTACAGATGTCTTTGCTGTAGAGATTTGTTTCTTTACAGAATTGATCTTAAATCTGACATCCCCAAATTTAGCTTTTGAGTTGACTTAAAATTCCATTGCTTGCTTTTGCAGATGACATGTTGTTAATATCTGGACCCCTTTTTCCTTATTTATATTATCGGGATATTTTTCCAAATTCCCATCAAACCTTGTTTGTTTTCTCCATGCAGAGTGTTGTGTTGTGTGGAAGGGAAAGGTTTAAAGAATTGTGTACAATGGAGGATGCTATTGGCATTTTTCGCTGGACAGTTCTTTGCAGAAAAACAGGACAAGTGATTAGGATCCCTAGTCCCCACCTGGTATTTACTCTGGCTGATTGTTGCCATCTGGTAGTTTAGGTCCAGTTGCCCAATAGTTTTTCCACAGAATCCTGATAGTTTATTTTTTTAGTGTGAAATATCCAGACTTTTAAAGTACTCTGAGCTAAATTTCACACAGGAGCACCAGATTGCTTTAGCTTAGGGTTTCCCATCTGTATACTGCCAAAATTTACATTTTTGCATTTCAAGCTGTAACTCCAGAGAGGAAGAATTGGGGTGCTTTGAGTATGTCTTTAGTAATCATACTAAATAACAAGTTCTGTCCCTGAAACATTGGAAAATTAAGAAGTACTCTCTTTTTTATTCCTCAGGTGTTATATGTGTAGATAGATGTGAATAAGAGAGACTAGATGAGTGCTAGTTCATAAGCTAAGCAAGGATAGCCGGTATCACTTTCCCTCAGAGTGAAATTAAGTTAGTCATTCAGTACTCATTCTTGAAATCTCTTACCTGGAAATTGTAAAAGTGACTCACTGCATTATGTTTGAATGCAACGACAATTTTGTACAATAGATTTGTTGACTTGATGATTCTCACCATCAGTGAAAACTTGCATTGAGTATTTTTTTCCCCAACATTTTGTGACAGAATAGCGAAGCTTGATTATGCTAGTGAAAGCAAAAATTCCTGTGTTGTAGAGAGGGAACATTGTTAATGAAATGATGTGCTCGTAATATTTCTGGTATCTTTGACACTTCACATTTCTATTGCATGGGAACTGAATCCATCAGGACCTGGTTCATAGTATTAAATACATTGAATCAACAGGTATCTGCAGCGATTTAAAATGGTAAAGAAATTTTGTTTCGAAGATAAATTGTTTTTTCAAATTTATTTCTTAAATGCCTACTTTCATGGCCATGTCATTTCCTAGGGATACAAAGAGAAATTGTTTACCATATTCATTTACAGGCATTTTTCACAAAATGTAACTGTCTTGGTCAGGATTAAATAAAAATTTGTTACATTTTAAAAATCAAATGTTTGAAGTTTTTTTGTGAACTTTGCTTTAAAGTTGAATTGTAAGTATGCTGATTTTTGCATAATAACTTGATATTTATGTATTGTGTACTTGACTGTGCTAATAAGCCTGTCTTGTATTCATTTCTCACAACCATCCTACAACATAGTGTAGAAACTATTTTCCCTGTTGTACTGGTGAATGAGGCACAGAATGCTTGCAAAAATTTGACAAGGATGCAGAGCTCTAGAAAGGAGTAGGTAGATACAGAATCCCTAACTTACTGCAAACCAGTCAGTCCCTAAAGCCCAAGGAATCGTATAGTGGACTGAATAATTGCAACTGCCAAATTCTTGGATTCTAGGAATAGTTTCTGAAAAGAATGAGAAATGCCGATACAATGAAAGCCCCAAAAAAGGTTTTTTCCTTATTCAAGAACTAGAGCAAGGTCTTTAGTGGAAAACTTGAATTACTGTAAATTGAAAGCAAAGAAATTGTCAGCATTTAATTCTAATCTAGTAAATATATCTAGTTGGAGGTTGAATTTTAGGAGTTAACTTTTTCTTAAATGAATGCATTCAGTGACCAAGGAAGTGTACATTTTCTATGATTTCTGAGAGTATGGTCATATCAGTGTTTTATCATTAGTGTGTGGGTTTTGAAATTTTGAGGAGGTGTTTTTTGGGTGACCTAAGTATCAACTTTCCTTTCATTTGGATCATTTTAGAACTATTCAGTGAATAGAGAGTTATAAATACATGTCCTTTATCTGTGCAGGTGTCCGTTGGAGTAAAGTACTGCTACTCTATGTAGACTCAGAACACTTGAGTATTCACAACTTAAACCATTTTCCTACTGGTAGTTCTCTTTTCTGTGCCCTGGAATATTTCTAACATAGTGCGTATCTATGCCCAGCAGTGTATTGAGTGCCTAAGAAACAATTCAGATATTTTGTGCTTTAAAATGGGGGAGTGGGGGGCAGCTTTCAAGTGTGATAAGGAAAAATTTGTTAGTTATACATTTTTATATTTAATCTAATTTGTGGTAGATGTTTGCATTTACAAAGAATTCTAGGAGCCCTAGAAGTAACACTTAATATATGGGAAGTAATTGAGAGAAAAGAGAGAGATTGGACTTAATTGATACTTAACTGCATTAAAGTATTGCATATACTTTATCTCCAGTTTCCTGATTGGGTTG